TTCGATTGAGCCGGCTAGTGTAGTGCCTGGATTACATAGGTTAGCGTAGAGCCTGTCATACTTGATTACACCAGTTAGTGTAGGCCATATGCATTACCAGTGAAGTGCCTGGATTACATTGGAAAGTGTAGATCAAGGCTTACTCAATTGCATCGGTTAGTGTAGAATCTGGCATACTCAATTACATCGGTTAGTGTAATGCCTAAAGTAATCGATTACATCAGTTAGTGCGATGCCTAAAGTACTCGATTACATCGGTTACCTTGATGCACCTAACAATATGAATGCAAAGGTTAAATGTTCATCTGTAAATAAATTAATAATGTTTTAAAGACCTTTGTTAGCATGTTACTAAAATAGACTTTATCATGGTGCATATTTTTTCTGCAGGATGAAAACAATTATTTGTATGCCATGACAAATTGATAACATTTCCTTTTCAAAGTGAAATAATGTTTATGAGTTTTTTGTTTTATGGTCTGTGTTATAATTACTTTGAGTGTGTGACGATTTTATTATTATTATGTACAAGATGTATGCAATTATTGAATTTATTTCCTCTTCATCTAAACATATATGTTAGTGCAGCAAAACATGAAGATAATTAAATTTGCATTTGATGTGTTAGGTATGAGAAAGATTTCAGCAGAAACGTCAATAATTACTAGAATCTAATTACTTAAAATAATCACTTTTATAGAAAAAGATAACTGACAGCATACGTATTTACATGAGGTATACTATTATGCAATTTAAGTTTACTCAGAGGATTCAATGTAATAATTTGATTAATTATTTAGAAGCAATCGTACAACTCGTTTTGAATTTTTCTATTGGTTATGATACTTTAGTGCATTTCTCAAGTTCGGATGTCAAATACTATGTTCTGTTGATATACATCATATGAAATCAAATATCAAGTAATGTCATTTACTAGTGATACTTAAATAGAGAATGGAAATGGGAATGTGACAACAATCCGACCAAAGAGCAGAAAAACAGCCAAGGCCACCAATGGGTCTTCAACGTAGCGGGAAAATCCCGCACCCGGAGAAGGGCTTCAGTTCGCCCCTAAACAATAATGTTTACTAGTTCAGAAAAAATAGACGCCACACTAAACTCCGAAACATATAAATGAACCAAAATTTACAAGAAGACCACAGATGCGATGCGTTAACGGAAGAGAACAATAATGAATTTTCAGCCGCAAAGTTTAGAGTGTTACAACCAAAGAGTGATTCTGAAACTTAAGTTTCGCTGTTGTTGCTTACGTTCCGAACATAATTAGAATTAACTTTTTTCTCTCAACATTTTCATAATCTTTTTAACTTTAACATGGTACATCAAATTGATAATATGTTTACATCCTTGATCTATTGTCTCTGGTCGTTAGCAAGCATACCACATTTCCTCTTTATAAGAATAAGAATAAGAATATTTATTATTCCAATCAATTTATATATTAGATGATCAAAACAAGAGACTCGACACCAAGGGTTGATTTAATGTATATAAATATGGTCACGTGGACTTCTCAACCCCGACAGTAAAACCCATTATGGATATAGTGCGTCTGTTTTGCAGTTGTAAGGATAGCGCTGTGGCACCGTTAAAGTCCACAATTCCTCTAAAGTCCACAACACCGCTAAAGTCCACAACAATTTTCCGTTAAAGTCCACAACGCCGTTAAAGTCCACAAAATTTCCGCTAAAGTCCACAAAATTACCTCCGCTAAAGTCCACAAAAAAACACCGTTAAAGTCCACAATAACAAGTTCCGCTAAAGTCCACAAAAAAGCACCGTTAAAGTCCACACTCTGTGCGTATAAAGTCTAGAGCCCTTTCAAAACCAATTCACTTTATGTAAAGTTTGTAAGTGAAAGGCCGAGTTATCATAGTCGTAAAAAATCCGTAAAAATACTTTTTTCGCTTACAACTTCGATAAAATGCCCTCAAAGTTATATCCAGAACAAATATTAATGAACACTTACAGAATTATTTCGCCTGATTAGGAATTAGTACTCGTGACGTCATAAAACTGGTCGCTTTTGGTCGCCATTTTGCAGTGTCCGTAATTGTATGATAATATTTAATAGATTTTGAGTGGATATTATGTTCTCAGAATTAAGACATTGTTATTATACGATGTAACATGGGTCCTTAAAATATCCCGTTTTAATAATAATATAGTCCTTTATTCAAACGCAATACAGCTTATAGAATTTACATATAGAAATATAATATTATCAGTGATTAATTAAGCATGTGTAATACAAACTCCGTGAATGAAAGAACCAAGAAGAAAAGTAACATGATTAATAATATTCAACTGTTTGGATTAATCCGCTCCAAAAAGTGAATGCGTATAAAATTCATTTGCAAAAAAACACGAGTAATTGTTATGCCTGTAAGAGAAGGTTCCAAATGCAAGAACTAACTTTACAATCTATATCTCTAGATCTATCAGTTTGAGCCGCGCATTTGCCTGAAAATCCGAAAATGTGTTCCACTAGTGTTATAATATGATTGATTGATTGCTGATTGCTTAATGCAACTATTTTATGCATATTCAGGACAAGAATTAATAAACAATTTATGCAACTATTAAGTTCGTCAAGGAAAGTCAATCTGGATGAAGGTGTAGAAAATTTGCATTGAAACAAGCCATTTACGGACCCCTCAGTAAGTTGTCGCAAGATTTTTATTTATTGGCGTGCAGTGAGCTAGGTTCTTTCCCTACACGAGGCATCGAATTTGATAGCGTCCCCATTCCGACCGAATGTGGCTGTGTATTTATACATCCCGCACATCAAAACGAACGCTCACTTTAGCTTGCTACGGTTTTGCTACCGGACGGAAGAAATCCAGAAATGATCATATTTCTGTACCCCAGTCAGAATTTGGGGTCTAATTAGTATCATGAATATAACTTAAAAGCGAGATCACGAATTCAAATAATAATGTAGATGTTAAGAGGTTAACTATACAATGAAAATCATCTTTTGAATATCTTATGATGGACATCTATATTTAATACTTTGTGGCCAATTGTTAAATCTAAAGCCCTCCTCCCCGTCTATCACATTAATATTTTTTTTAAAACCTTAGAACCATTATTTATGAAACAGATAGAATACTTTCCTGTCTTATTGTAGTCTCAGATTTAAGCAACAGAAAATTTGGACTTCAAAAGTCAGTTAAAATTTAGGTTCCTAAACATATTTTAGTGAACAAATTATACGTAGTAAAAACAACTGAAAGCCTCAACCTAATGAGTTTCGTAGTTATTTCATGAAGTGTTTAACTGAATTGGGTTAGAGTAAACATCAAAGTTCCACTCAAAATCTTTTTACACGTTTAACGGAGTCCAATTACTAAAGCAGAAAATAGGCGCTAAAATAAATTAGTAGAACGAGTAATTCAAAATAACACTCGATAAAATTTCGTTCGTCAAAACCGCTTTTCTGGCTTTACTTTCATCTTGAACGCTCAAACCAAACATTAGAAAACCAGGGATGCATAAACGCGAGGCAAGGGTAGGAGCTATATGACCGAAAAGTACACAAAAAGAATATCCAAATTTATCTAATGTAAACTTTCTACCTTATGGAGTTGGAACCTTATTTTCTTTATAATTTCTTAACATTTCAACGGGAAATTATAGAAAATATGTTACGACATCATGGCAGTGACGAGACACTGGCTACTCAGCTGATAATACCTTCGTTCGTTAATCTTAAGAAAATTAAAAAATTAATGAATCTGCGTTAACATAAGATTACTGTTAATTTAAAGGGAAAAAAACTTTAGTGTTCATTTTGTTACTTTTACAAGTCTACTCTCGTATTGGTGCGGCAGCAGTCCTTTTGCGCCAATTGCTATTTTTGAGATGTATCATTTGCGCCAAATATTAATTTTCAAAGGTATCAATTGCGCCGATATACATGATTCATTTGCGCCAATTTACCTGTACATGAATTTCTCATACATAATAATCATGAATTATTTTAGGTACCTTAAGAGGTATTTTCAGGCTTTCAGCATTTATATACAATTCATTGAGTCAGTCATGGAAATAACATACCACTGGTGTGATGCCTTTTGTCTGCTAAATCAGGGTGCTGTTACCGGAAAATGTTATCTTTGATTCAAGAATGTTGTGAAAGATATGATATGAGAATACATTTTATTACTATTCATTTTGATTTTGAAGAAAAAATACATGTCGACGTGAAATGTTTTTCAAGCTTGTATGACCAAGGCATGTCGTTTTCACCTTGGTCAGACATAGGGACGAACAATATTTTTTGCCGTTGAAAAGTATCGGAATTTTACGAGAGGAGAATTCAGCCATGGAGATTATGTTTGTGTCATTAATAAAACTATGTTGTCTGGCTGTAAACTGCATGTCCCAAACCAGGATAAAGGAGGAAGAAATTCATTTTCTTTTAATGTGCCGCAATCGTAAACTTTATTTTTGGCGCAAATAATACTATACATTTTGAAAACTAGTGGCGCAAATGTAGCATTGGCGCAAACGTGTTGTAGCGCAAAAAGACGCATTGGTGGCGCAAACGGATTTCTCCCGTTGATGCTCCTTGTGTACGTTGGATATTTAAGTAATTAGTTTATTTGTTCATTAGTATTTTGTTATAAAAATGATTAATTTACAGAATTTGAAAGAAAAACTATGTGTTTGCCGTTACTTATTAGGAATTCCCAATTGTATAAAAAAAACAGGCCGCTACATTTTTTTTCTGTAATAGTCGAGTAAACCATTTGTATTCATGGTATTTTTCTTTTATCAATCTTTTATCTCTACTTTTGTTGAAATCTATATCAAATTTTGAAGTCAAGTTAAAATTCAGACTTCAAAATTATAAGCAACAGCTATAAATCAAAAATAAAATAATATACTTACTTCATCATTATAATATTAAGTTACGATCAAATATATCTATATGTTATTTTCAATTTAAATAAAATTCTTTAAAAACATACCTCCTTCTTTCAAAAGTATTCCAGAAAGGAGAAGTAATATTACATTGAATATGTTTTCTTTATTTCTCATTTTTCCATTGATATATCCATCCTATCATCAAAACTGTTTGTAATCCTTATCTCGTATGTTTCGTAGACATAAGGAAAATGGACCAGATTTCAATATTTGTCGTCTCGTACGGCGCATGAGTTCTATAGCCTTTAAGTGGCATCGATTTTATATCTGCAGCTTTTAACCGTTGAATTTAAAATCAACACATACATTTTCCTGTTGGTATCCGTACTACCGGTATTACAATGAGATACATTAAATCATACATTGATCTGTCGCCATTTGATATTACAAATAAAATTTTAATTGTTCGCCTGAACCAAAATAATTTGTTATCAATATATTTTATTTTTCAGTATAAAAGGCATTTTAATAGGGAACAAATATCATTAAAGGGGTATTCTGTATTAATGACAATTAGTTTGACATTCGTGTACAGAGCTAAATAATTCAGAATCTGATACTATATCAAATATAATCGCATTGTTCCCGTTGTTTTGTTTTTGCTAAAACGATAACGTTGATGAGTGTCCACGTTTTGAATTCCTTACATTTCCTAGAAACAACGAGAGGAAAATAAGTTGGAGAAAAAGAATAAAAATAGCACGAGGATATAAAAAAAATGATCGATTTTTTCATATTTTGCCAAAATGAATATCATATCATGATTTCCAAAATATAACAAGTTTTCCAGATTAATTATGCTCAAAATTAACGTTAATATATTTTAAGGATGAATTATAAAAAAAAAGCGCTATTACATGAAAAGAAGGGAAAATGAATGATAAAATTTTGATAAAATGTATGAGTAGATAGCTCTTATAAAATGCCATCAGAATATATAATATAGGGTCGTTGTACTTGTTTTCTTACTAATTTGTAGAATAAAAATATTTACTAGATTCCTCTATAAAACTAAATTAATTGATCTATCTCCCCATATAATAGAAAGTTATACATTTTTTTAAATCAATTTATTTATTTTTTTGTATTCTTACAAAAATTTATCGTCAGATAAAATCGCATAAATGTTTGTTTTAATATAAAATCTCTAAAATAAACTGCATTCCTGCATCAAAATTTCCTAATGTAACTAAAAATCTGGATTGAATAAAAATATGTCGAAATTTGGAATCGAAATATACTAAGCTATAGATCGTCATATGTCTAAAGTTAAGCAGAAATATTGAAGATGTACCTTCAGCATACAACTCTACAAATAACAAAACAAACTAAAAAAACGTTTAAGCACAGGGGCGGATCCAGCCATTTTTAAAAGGGGGGATCCAATCCAGGATAAATGAGGAGGCGGGGTTCCAAACCATATGTCCCCATTCAAAATCATTGAACGTCAAAAAAGGAGAGGTTCCAACTCCCGGAACTCCCCCCTCCCCCTCCCCTGGATCCGCCATTGGAGCGTATGACACAAGACAACAACTGATGAGATTCCTACGGAAGCCGGTTCGTGTCAGGATGAAGTTTTTATTTTAAGTCGTTATGACAAGTAAATAAGTCGTTATAACGATTTAAAAAATAAAACTACACCCTGACACTAACCGGTTTCCGTAGATTCCTGATTTGGTAAAGGCGCATCAATAATGGCGGGTAGAACTAGTTTTTTTTTATATCTCAACCCTGTCACGAATACATCAGTTTACCAACACCAGGTTCATAAAAGGAAATACAACAAAACCAGTACAGGAAAAACACTTAAAATCTCAAATAATAATTCTACCTAATATGTCAAAATCTAAGTCGTTTAAGATTTAGCAGACATATTCTAAGTTTGTAAAGTGATTTTGTGATAGAATATATCGCCTATTTTCAGTTTGCAAAAATTGCACTTTCTAGTTTTTATTATTAAAAGTTCCGCAGATCTAAAACGACAATTCAGACAATCGTCAATAGTAAGCTTCCCGTTCCATTAATCTGTCTTTGTATTAAAATTCAAGGATTATTGATCCACCTAATGTATCAGATATATGTAATAAACTTATTTGAATCCCATATCCCGTCGACGATCGGCGTACAAAAGCGAAAATCATGATCCACCACAACAAAGAAAAACCTGAATATGATTCAGTTTTCAAGCCTTATGTTGTATTAGAGTTTTAAAAAAAAGCATAGTTCAAAATAAAGTACTTCGAAAAAAATCCTCTCTGAGATTTTCCATTGGGGTCGTTTTCTCTGTGTGTTATCATATTGTGTCCATATATACAAAATATGTATATTCGATATTTATTATGACATGTTTCTAAATATCGATTTGTTTCCAGCTTGCGTGAATTGTTTAAGAACAAGAAATTAAGTGCATTTTGATAGATATCCCGGTCTTAATCTTAACAAAGGAAAGAGAGACGAACACTGACGCTGAACAATATTTTGATTTGATAGGTCTTTTTGCATAATTTGATTAACCTGAAAACCAGTTTTTCGTTTAGAACAATGTTATCTCAGACTAGTTTGAATGTTCTGTTTCGACATTTTATAAAGGAAAATTCGTGTCACAAAAATATCAAAATTTGAGTACTGTAAAGTTGACATTAAAGTGGTTATAGATTACAAAATTACGTGCGAATACTTTAGGCTGCGCACATCCACTGATACGCCGGAATTGTTTAAAATGATATTCATGTACCTGTGGTTTGTCATCCGAACTAGCGATGTTATAGTGTTGAATACATTTTGTTAAACCATTGTGGAGACGTCAGCCTATTCATTTACCGTGGATTCTTTTTCTAGAATCAACGCTTCCTAAATCTGCCGCTGAAATTGACTCACCAAATTATATTCAATTGTTTCCTTTGTGTGCCTAATTTCATTAAGTTTGAATTGGCTAATTTACTGATTTCTGTTCACTAATGGAATTAATTTAAAAACTTACCTTTAATTTTTGTAATGTTTATATGCCTTCACTGGGAATCGAACCCTTCTTAGAAATCTGTTATGTGTGACTGACATCAACACATCGACGAAACCTCTCGGCTATCAATGGGTTACACTTTAGATGTCTATTTTATATATATAAATGAACATCTGATATACATCGGTTTATCGGACACACAGGGCTTGTACCTTTATATAGACACAATAGGCAGTCGTATAGTATGAGTTGGTAGCCGCGAGGTTAGCATGGTTAAAATCAATGAGTTAAAGATACGGATTTGTCGGTTTAGGTTCGAATCCCTGTATTCTCTCTGTTGTTCCAATTGTTAAGTTATCCTGTTTTTTTTCTAATTTTGCATTTTAAAGTGGATATTTTTGTAATAATAGCGAGTTTTACCGTTTTTTTTTATTATTATTGGCTATTTCACATGTTTGAAACAAAAATTATTACATTCTATTTGTCAATTTTTGTTTTATAAATATAGTATGATTTCATCTGTTTTACTACACAATTTTACAAAGGTTTGTTCGCAATTTCCTATGCGAGAAAATCGTGATGTGCCTAGAGTGCTAGAACAATTTCGATAACATACTTATTATATATACTTTATATATGCTTTTTGGTCGGGTTGTTGTCTCTTTGACACGTTCCCCATTTCCATTCTCAATTTTATAAGAAATAATTTCGAATATGTCTTATTTTGTATAAACAGATAATATTCATATGCCTGGTAATATAAAGATCTTTAAAGGTAGAAGTGTTATATTTGTATTGTGTTAACCAATTAATTGTAATCTGAGATTTATCAATGCATCGTTGGACACGATAACATGGTTATTTAAACTCACTTAAAATACCTTCTAATTAAGAAAAGGCTTTAATTTTGAAAAGAAATTAACACAATAGTTTAAGTTATAGATACAATGGATAAGCGTAGATTCATGAAAAACAAACCATTCGCCCTCCGGGCTCATGGTTTCTTTTTCAAGAATCCACGCTTATCCATTGTATCTATATAACCGAACTGATTTTCATTACAAACGGTCGTAAGCGAATATGTTTTTATTACATTGATCGAGATTGACAGCAAGGAGATGGTTTTGTACTTCAAAAAACTATTTTAACCTTGCTTCGTGGTAATGTGGCTATGACACCACTATGAACCTCATCAGTGGCCATCTTTAATTACAAAAAAATGTAAATTCTAACACTTTTTGACCTTTTAATACGAAAAATAGTTATTGATGGTTGATCTATGGTAGTCAAACGTTACAAAACTTACATCAAATAGGGGCGAGCAAAAGGTTAAGACAGTCAACATATACATATGTATATAACATTTGTCTACTATTATGATAGGTCTTTAATAAGTGTCTACGACTGTTCTAGACATCTCCCTTTATTTATAAGCCGTACGCTTGTCATATATTTAGTGCAGACTCGGGAACTAAGTGGTCTGTGTAGTTCACCTGCAGTTATAACTAGCATGTCAACAATGATGTGACACACACATGTTTAACCCCGACACATTCTATATGTTCCAGGTCAGAAGCCTGTAATAGAATGGTTGTCGTTGGTTCATGTTCGTTATACTTGTTTTTCATTTTCGTAAATTGTTTAGTTATAAATCATATTATAAATTATAAACATTTGCTTATATCCACGTTATTTGAACTAAGGTGTAGAGTTGTCTCATTGGCAATCATACCACACCTCCTTGTTTTTATATTGTGATTTCAAATCACGCGCATGACAAAGTACATTCAGGCCTGCAATTTGTTATGAAGTCAATGTTAATTTTTCCTATTTCGTTTTTGAAGGATATATACATTTTAAAAATGCTATAAAATCATGATGATGTTAAATCCTCAGACACCAAACTATTAAAATGTCAATAAAGATCCAACGATTTTGCGAAATTAAGCAAATCATTCTCCATATGTGGCACCCGTCGTGTTGCCCATGTAAGTAAACAGTTGGTGAAAAGTCTAATTCGGTAGGTCACATTCCTGGAAAAGAGGATGGACTTGTTGTTCCGACAATTGGAACATATACGCCGTCATTTGTGAAACAGATATTATATAACGGTCAACCAACTCGTGATGGCGTCTGTAAAATTTTCGAAGGGATCATTTCAATTTCACCACTTGGAACTCTTGGTTGTAGCAGCAACCCTCTATCAAAGTAATCATGATAGGAAATGCAAGTTCTTGAATACTGTAGCAACAGTGAAATATATGCAGGCGCTGCAAAGAAATAAAAAGTTCACAATTGGGAAGCTAAATTCATCTCTTCTGTCGTATTCTGGTTTATATTTTACTTCAAGTTCGAAGGGAACAGATGC